TCAGGATGATACCTGTGAATTCAGGTTCTTTTTCCAAACTCGCTCGCTGCCCGCGAGGTCCACTAAATGCAGTTTCCATCGTCGCAATAGGTCAGTCCCGGGTTTTCCACAGGGAGTGTGCTGAAACCGAAATTTTCAACTTTACCATAAAAAAGGGAAAAAACTCGGCGTAAAAATGAACTCGAAACTACGAAATTCCATCATGTAACCATTTTCTATCCGAATAGTATCCAAATCAATCTTCGTTTTCTCCGGAGATTTTTAGTGACAAATTTCAGATATCAGCAACAACGGATCACAGAAATGTAATAGGAACGTATCGGCCTTCTTGACCATAACACTCTCCCTCATCGCTCACTTGCTCGACCTCTAGTGTAAACACTGTGTGACTCCTACTAGATGCCATATTAGCAGCTGTACTCGATACCATACGATTCACCTGACCACGTATCTTACGCACAGCCTAGATTCTCCACAGAATTGCAAACAAATATGCCACGCTGTATGAGCACTGCTATTAAACGATTTAATAGTAGTGCTTTCATTAATACGCGTGGCACTCGCGAACTGCGAAGTTTCTACTTGGCAAATTGCGATGGACTCAATTCCTAATGGTACGTTTTCTGTTCGTATACATACCCGTATATGTAGATGTATGAATTGCCAGAAAGCAACGCCCTCGGAAAGAGTGAGTGCAATCACCGAAAACACGCCGCTCCGACGTGCGTAATTTCTCGATCCGAGATTCTCGCACACTAAGCGTGCTAAGAGGCGTAATGCTGAATATTAGGAGGAGTGATGACGGCTCTATGCAAGCGGCAAGGATACAATATTTCATAGGTCTATCACATCTCTGCCAACCAGCACGGTGAAAGATTCCCAGCAAGGAGCATACTGGATGCGTGAAAGTTAGAGCGATGCTCACCAACGGCTAAGTGTGAGATACGGATAGAGCATGACATATGGCAGCATGGCAATTCTACTTATGATAAAGCCTCAGGGGTTCGCAAAATGATTGTTTAGCTTAGAGTAATTCGACGGTATTGATGAATGGTTGAAGATATTCTCGGGCAACGATATAGTCGCTCAAGTCGGCGACTGAGCCTACGATACTGACACGTCGTGCTTAGGCGTAGATAGATGACGTTACAGACGGAGCCTTTATCGTCGGTAGCATTACCGAACTCTAGCAGTGTCGTATGCGGTGATCAACCTCCCCCACAATAACCGGGGGCACTCGACCATTGACGTGGGGTGCGCGTACCATCGCGCCACTATCTTTGTAGTGCCTCACTGTCTGCTCTCACCGTAGGGCCTTATCGTGAGACCCATCATCACAAATTTCTTAATCGTTGAATCACGCGTTATACCATCGGCTAGTCTAGTCCCAAAGAAATACATTTCCTAACATGAACATATCTAATGCATCATCTTCAGTGAGCGTCGTATGCAATGAGAGGTTCCGCAACACAATCTCGCCGTTCTCATCTTCCAAAAGGCTCACCTAAGCAGACAACTCTCCTACTACACAACTTCTGAACGAGACAGTTCTCGAGAGGAACTCATTATTCTATACAAGAGGTCTATGGTAGGAACATGTCTAGGTATGAAGATAATTTCATAGTGCGACGCTATCTTCCTATACATCTTTGTAAACAACTATCGATGATAAAAAACCTCTGCTACAAAGTATACTCACATCAATACTTTTCCTCCAAATCCAAGATATGGTGTGAATCTTGCGATCTTGCGCACTCTTACATTTCCTCAACACACGGGATAGCTCACCTTCGGCCAGTGTTCGATAGGAGTTCTGGGATTGACGCTCTCACACAGGAGGTCGTACGCATTTTCATTGTACACTTCCAAGTAGCTCACCGAAACCTAAATCGAGAGAGTCTCAAATCGATCACATGATCGATTATGCCATTTACATTAGTAACAGCTCCAGGAGTGGATCTTTGAAACCGCTCAACCGCTGCGAAAAGCTCTTCTATGCATCTCGGGATGATGCCTCTCTCGGCATAGCCCTCTCCACCACTCATAGTGTAGCTTAAACAACGACGTCAATTTCGAGCGGAGGATACAGGAAATGTTGAAGGAACGGCTTACGTCTTGCCACTTCCTGTCTGCCCATAGCAAAAAATGCATCTGCACAAATTGATTGAAAATAAGGCAAGTTACCTCTACAGAGGAACGAACCTCGATCGTACGAGAGTGAACCGAACACACTACCACTACGCCACTTACCCATTGTGGCCGTCCATGCAACTGTTCAAGACAGGCAGTGCAACATGTTTGAATGTCTCCTCCTGACTCACCTCCGAACCCATCACGCGATGGAACGGGAAAGTGTACCTGCGGTCAGAAGCAGAACTCAGTCAACTGACTTCCTTTTCCGAATTAGTTATTTTACAAGCTAAACTTCATCAGAACAGACCACACTAACATCTTTCGAAAAAAAGAAAAAAATGGAAATCCATCTGCTATTGTCAGCAAACGTCCTTCCCCACAATTAGATGCAAGCATAACCTCGCTGTTTTCATTCAGTACTTTGCCAGGCTATTTTCAGACTCTTCTTACCAAATTTTCACACAATCTCGAGTATAATAGTCAACATACTACGGCAACTAGTGAGGCCCCAACCATTTTTACGTGTCTCTCCCTGTTGCTCCCTCCCGCGCCGTTGTTCCTGGACTGCAATCTGGCAAGGATATACTCAGCCTAGTTCAACTACACTTTTCCAATGAATCACTCTCGACTCGATTCACCCTACCATAACTATCACACCTACCGCATGAGTGATAACGCTCTATTTCAAGTGGTACAACTTCACGAAATTCCGCAAAAACGCGGATGAAACTGCCTTGTGCAGAAAACAGATAATTCGGACGAGCCCCACATCGGGATCGTCATATCGTGTAAACAATCGTAATTGTGTCGCCGCCTTTTACCTTCCTCACACCTCATCCTAAGGAGTCCACCTAGACTTCTATTCGCACCACGATCCGGAGAAGTAGCGGCCATCAACCCATCTATGTCGTTGTCTCTAGTTACGATTTCGAAGCTGCAACGACAGCTTCAATGATCGACCTACTCTATATATTAAATCGGAGATGCTGATTTTCAGCACAATGAGTTTATGAATAGAAACAAATACACATCCTGAAGAATCGCCAGGCTATCTTCTCGAAGAAAGGCAATTGCAAGCGCGCCTCCTCCAGGGCGTCAGATTCCTAACGTAAACCGCACATCGCTCCATACACTAACTGGAATATAGCAACAACGATCCTCGGATACATATGAACAGTTAGCAAAACGCAT